AAAAAAGTCCGTTCATGTCCTCTGCCCATTTCTAAACTGGATTGTGTGTGTGTGTGTGTGTGTGTGTTGAGTTGTATGTTCTTTATATATTTTGGGTATTAACCCCTTATCAGATACATCATTTGCAAATATCTTCTCCCATTCAGTAGGTTGGCCTTTGGTTTTATTGATGGTTTCCTTCACTGTGCAAAAACTTTTTATTTTGGTATAGTCCCAATAGTTTAATTTTGCTTTTGTTTCCCTTGCCAAAGGAAGCATAAATACAAAAATGTCCCTATGGTTGATGTCAAAGAGATTACTGCCTATGTTTTCTTCTAGGAATTTTATGGTTTCAGGTCTCACATCTAGGTCTCTAACCCATTTTGAGTTTGTTTTTATGTATGGCAAAAGAAAGTGGTACAATTTCATTCTTTTTCATGTAGCTGTCCAGTTTTCCCAACACAATTTGTTGACCTTGATCTTGGGTTTGTGAGCTCAAGCCTCACACTGGGTGTAGAGCTTACTTAAAAAAATAAATAAATAAAAGGAATATAAATAAGCAGTATTCATAAATATTTCCTTTCTAGCCTAGACCAATCAATTCCACTTGGCTAGTAGTTTTTAGCATACTATTCATTCATTCATTCATTCAACTCTGTACAGTATACTAAAGAATGTACTGTGAGGATTACATAGTATGAGAACCAGCACTGAAGAAATTAGATCAATACATACAAAAAAAGTCCCATGACAAAAGTATAAATAAAATATTTATGCAAGAAGGACCAAGAAAGCTCTAGGGAATGTATAAATTGAATCTGGGCGTAGGAAAACTAGATAGAGGGAGGAAGAAAAGAACCATAGGTGGAATGACCAGTGTAAGGCAATGACAGAGGCCAATACAGGAATTTGCAAGAAGGAAGTGGCTGGAGCATAGGGACTGAAATGAAATTATCAGAATGTCAGATTTGGAACCAGACTACAAAAGCCTTGAGTACTAGCATAGGGGACTTGAACTTTATTTTGCATACACTAAGAGTTTATGAATAAGGGGAGATGAAGAAAAAGGTTTAAAACAGGAATATTAATCCTACATAATGATTAAAATATAGAGTAAGGAGGAAAAATGGAGTCAGAAAAGCTGCTGTTGGGTTTAACTACAGAAATAGTTTATCAGACAGGGATCATTACAAAAACTCACATCCACCCTATTTGTAGTAGAGCTAAATCATATTTTAAGAAAAACTATGTACACATTTAACTCCATAAAGCTAATCTTATGCATTCAGCCAAAAAAAAAGTAGGGGGACAGATCTCACCCACCCTAATAGTCAATGCATTTACTCTCCAAAGTAAACATGAGATGGAAGCTCTGATTCTATATCTTCTCAGTCAGTCTCAATCCCTGTATGCCTCTTACAGCATGAGCATTATAATTCTACTCTTAAGGAGATGTACTTTCACATAACATATCCCCTAGTCCTAAGTAAACCACTTCATCAAGTGCTCCACCAAAGAAAAAGAAAACAGTACTCTGCCCTAGCACTTAAGGAAAAACTGGCTGTGTCAGACTTGATGGAAGACAATACTATATTGTACTTTATGTGCTATTTAAGAAACTTTCAAGAATAATTTTGGCTCAATTTTTGTTTCACATACCAATTTTGGGGCCTAATCTCTGCTTTATGCCTTTTCTCTCCCTCATTCCTAAGTATTTTAAGCATATTAAAGGTAGCAAAACAGGGATTTAGTCCAAAACAATTATTTGAGAGCAAAAAATTCCCAAAAAAGTAAAATGTTTAAAGAATTAAAACCAGGCAAATAAAAAAAAAGTACCTCAGGGCGGGTAAGGTTACAGAAAGCATGGACACAAAGTATAAAACACCTGTCCTCCATGGAACTTACTTATAAAAACAATAACAGTATGTCTCTTTATTTTCCCCCATAACCATTAAAATCCTTTCCCCTGAGTCAACATTTTGAAATAGTATTATAAAGTTCTGACAAACTACTTATTAAAATGTCTTTTATATCATATTAACATTTGCTAAAAACTAAACTAACACAATTTAGGAAAGAGAAGTATTTTTATTTTTAAAGTACAAACTTGTGTTTGCTTTGCCTACCTGACAAAGTATTTCCAAGTCACTTGTTTATTTATCCAATACCTATTAAGAGTCTACTATATGTCAGGCACTGTGCTAGATGCTAGAAGTACAAAATGAAATAAAATATCCGTATTCCTTTCAAAGAGTTTATAATCTAATGAGGGACACATACTATAATTCATATAATCATGTTATAATCAAGATGTACACAGGATACCACAGAAGCAAAGAAAGGCGTCAGGAAAGGCTTTTTTAAAGAAGTATTAGAGTAATGTAAGTTTGGAAGGTCAGGTATAAATTGAAGCTGTGCTTCCTATACTTGATTGTGCATCAGAACTCCATCTAAACCTGGTGTCTAGGCGTCACTTAAGAGCTGGTGAATTAGAATCACCAGAGGTGGGCCAAGAAATCTGTATTTTTAACCACAAGAGATTTGGAATCACAGCCCGGTTTTGGCAGAAGTGAGCCAGAAGTACAGACAACCATTCCAGGCAGAGAGAATGGCTCAGTATGGTTGGAAGTGTGAAATACAGACAGAAGATGAGAGAGGAATCAGAACAAGAGTAGTGACATGACTAATGTGACATTTCAAACGAGACCTATGGAAGTGACGTGAACTTCCAAAATAAAAGGCAATCACTTGTGTCATGTATTTCAACAAATGATTTGTGACATGAACTAATTTCTTATGGAAGTCTCTGGGAAAATTAAATGTAAATCCTTGCATTTCAAGACAAAGGCAAAATGCTCCCTTGAAAATCAAACAAATTAAAAAACAAAACCAAAACAGAGCTCTACTCATAATTTTTATTAAATGTAACAATCATTTTTCTCAGCATACATACCTCGAATATGAACAAAAGTTATAACATTTTTAACTTAAAAATGTTCCATAATGTATAAAAATAAATTCAAACTGTATTTTGAAATTCAAGCTTTAAAATTAAAAACTGTTCTTAATGATTTTAAGTTTCCAAACTGTTACTTTATAATAATTTGTTACTTCCTAAGAATTTAGCTAGAGATACCTTTATACTTAATTCCAGGTAGGAGTAAAGTAAGACAAGTCACCAATGAGAGGAATATTCACTATAAATAGGCTAAAAGCTAAACTGAATCTTTTATATTGATCTCTGTTTATAAAATAACAAATGGTTTAAATCCTCAATTCATTCCCCAAAAAAGATGTCATAAATAGAGACGTAGACAGGCTAACAGGTGAAACAGGAATAAGCTTTTAAAGAACATTCTTCAGAAACCCGGGGGAAACCTACCAATTATAATATATAAAATACATCCTACGATTATATTCTACTTCTAAAAAGTCCCTCTAAATCTTACTTAGACCATTTAAACATATCATAATAACCTATAGACCAAAGACTCATTTCCTAAGTGAAAACTATTGCCAAACTGTGCATAGTAACTCCTTGGAGGACATAGGGTATAGAAGCAACGGCAGTTCAAAGCCAAAGGACTAACCACATAGCCCTATTAGAAGAGAACCAATTGACAAATTATAATAATTGGCTAATTACAAGAATAATACCTGTAAACTTGATATAGCAAAGCATTCTTTCTCAGACTTAATTTAATATAATTTTTAAAATGGTAATATTATTGAGTTGCCTTTAATTTCCAGATGAAATCCAGGAATTAAATTAAGAGTTCTTGTCAGCGTCTCAGGCTAACGTGATCTATTTACATAGAATGTAACATATCTTTGTTTCCTGAGTCATTCACTGACTGCTTCCTTTCTGCTCCTGCAGCACTTTATACATATCTGTATTTGCTTTTTACTGCGAGGATCTGAATCCTGCAAAGAAGGTACTATTATGACCATGTAGTAGACAAGGAGACAGGCTTAGCATGATGAAGTGACTTAACGAAAATCACCACTAACCCAGATTTCAAACTCAGATCTATCTGGTTGCAAAGTTCTTTCTATTCTGCCTCAAAGGAAGAGAGGAACATAGGACTAAATAAATCAAACCTAAATAAGCAAATTGAATGCAGTTTCTTCTAGAACTATGTTGGTGGTAGCAAAAACAGCTCTATCGTACCTGACAAACCAAATGCAGAGAACATGTATCTGGGTGGAGGCACAGGGGTTTTGCCTCGTACCCGAACTCCCTCATGTAATTAGGAAATATCCCACTTTATGAGTCTCCATAGAAGGCAGAGCCCGCCCCCATTTATAGAAGCTAAAAATGCCATACAGTCATTCTTCCTGTCACCCCTTGAGCGTGAACACAGGCACTTTAATCCGTGCTCTGCCAATATGACTTTCCCACCAAGGAGTCTAAATTAAGAGCTAGAGACAGTAAGAGGCTGGGATAGCAAAGGCTGGATTTTGGCAGCAGCAACATTAAGTTTCCCAAGGTAATGGTAGCAGCTATGCAGCAGCAGAGTTTAGCCAGCAATCTGTGACAGCATTATTGTCAATGCATGGTTTTATGCCAGGATTTTCAGATGTCTTTCTTGCTACCTAATCTAACATGGTCCTGACTTAAGGCCATTTACAGCCTTCCCAGCAACTTAGTGAACTAATCAATATGCTTTCAGTAAATTACTTTTCTACTTGAATCAGTCAAAATTGTCTTCTGTTGCCTGCAATTAAACACAAAGACTGAAGCATTTAATAATTAAGTAAATGACACTAAACAATTATACTTTATCAAATCTTTTCACCTTATAAGGTACTGATTGTTGTTTTATATAATTTGACATTATGGTCTTAAGTAACAGCTATTTTATACATGATGGTATGCTCTAACAAAAATAAAAAAAAAAACCCTTCAAATCAGGTTTTTTTATCTCTTCCAAAGCAAGACAAAAATGCAAAAATAATAACAACTGTCTAGGGGTAATTTTCCCTGAAGTTCAGAGTTAAGCTTTGTTAAGAATTCTTACCTGTCAGGAATACCTAGCCTCTTGACACTTCTGTAAACAGAGAGAGTATTTGCAACATGCCGATAATTAAACCAGAACCGGGATGTACATACCTAAAGTATTAAAACAAATACATTATTGTTATGAATCAAAATAAGCCACCAACTTATAGAATTATTTCTCTTTAAGTAGGATTTAGAGATGCCTAGAAAAAGAGTATATCATAATATAGGCTTACAAACAGGAAAGCATATAAAGAATTGTCAAAAAAAAACAATCTCTCTAGAAAGAGGTCTTTCATAACTGCTATTAAATAAAAAGGCCATTCAGCTTAAGAGAAACCAAATCTTTGGGGAATTTAATCAAATACTGAACCAACTTAGTTACTCTCAATTTACGTGATTCTATAATGTTCCTAAGTCTAAAAGATTAAATTGTTTAGAATCAAAGGCAATGCCCATAATCTCTTCACAGAATAGAAAATTAACTTTCTTGGGTTATATAATGTTCCTTTCACTCTGGATTGCTTCCAAATTCTAGTTATGAAAAACATTAGATAGATAGATAACACAAAACACTTTTACATGTACACAAGAGAATACATTATAAAGAAGCTGTTGAACCTAATAAAAAACTAGAAACAATCCAAATTAAGTTTTACATTTAAAAAAACAACAACAAACTGATTCCTAAAAATGATACCAAAGGTACAAGGCAAATCTAACACCGTGCCTCAAAAAATCAGCGCCCTGGGAAATCCATTCCAAAGAAGTATACCTACCCCTGAGCACCCTCCCTATCTCCTACTACATGCCTTTGCTGGTCGTAGGTATAATGACAGCTTTGAGAATCATATAAATGTTCCTGCCCCTGCAAACGGAAAGGTACTACAAGATTTTTTTATTAAAATGAATTTTCAACCTGGAATCCAATAAGGAAAGACTATAATTTTTGACTACATTAAAATGTAAAATTCCGTGTGTCAAAAATACCATAAAGTCCTAAGTGAGATAAAACACTTGAAACAGGGGTGCTTGGGTGGCTCAGTCATTAAGCGTCTGCCTTCGAATCAGGTCATGATCCCAGGGTCCAGGGATTAAGCCCCGCATCGGGCTCCCTGCTCGGCTGGGAGCCTGCTTCTCCCTCTCCCACTCCCCCTGTTTGTGTTCCCTCTCCAGCTGCCTCTGTCTCTCTCTGTCAAATAAATAAATAAAATCTTTAAAAAAAAAAAAAACTTGAAATAATTATAACTCAGTAGGAAAAATGAACCACCCAATTTTCAAAAATGGGAAAAGGATGAGACCAACCATTTCATAATAAAGGTATTCAAAATGGACAATAAACTCTTAAAGATGCTCAACTTTTATCATAATTTAAAAAACACAAATCGAATTGAGTATTCAAAAGTCCATGACAATTCATAGTATTGGCAATCGTGTGGGGAAATGAATAACTCATATCCTACTGTTGGGAATGTAAACTAATATAAACCTTCTACAAGGGTAATTTGCAACATATATCAAGTTTGAATATATATTTATCTTTCGACTTAGCTTATATAAGTATACAAAAATATGTAATCAAGAATTTTCATTATAACATTGCCTGTATAGCAAAAATCGAAATTAAAAAGCTAGAAATCTATAGATTACATAACTTAAGCAGAAATAATTTATATCTGAATTAGTCATAATAAAAACCTGTATATTCAGTGCAATTTACCACACCCAAAAGGCTTTTCTCAGCTATTATAGTATTTAAGCATAAACCTAAGAAACTGCCTTCATTTTCACCAGTAATTTACTAGACATGAAATGGTGGCAAAAGAGAAGGGACCAAGAAATATCAACTTAATATAAATTATTCATATTCTCAAAATAAAATACCAAAAAAAAGCCAGTTGTAAGACAGCAAGTGATATGATCCATTAGTCTTTTTAAAAGGAGGGAGGGGTAGACACAAATGTAACTTTATGCATTGGAAATTCCTGAAAGGATGCACAAGAAAATAATAATGGTGATCATAGAGAATAAAAATGGGAATCAAAGAAGTGTACAATGATTTTTCAGTTTATACCCTTCCTCATTGTACTTTTTTTTAACCATGAGTAAGGATTATCATTTTAACTTTTTTTTATTAAACAGGAGCAAAAATGATTTACTCAGCAGATCTTGAAACTAAAATGGAATCCAATTTTCCTTCTATCTCCCTCTGGTGGCGAAAGTTTCTCAGTCACAGTACAGTGGCAAAGGGGCATTCCATTTACCTCTCATCCTTTAGTCAAGAGTAAAAACAAAGTAATTCAAACTGGTAGAGAAAAACGTGTATTTTTAAAATCTGAATTACATAACATTGAAAAAATGTATATTTAGTACTTTCAACTTGGCTCTGGTCAAATTTCATGATTTTTCATTTAAGAAAAAACAATTCACTAAAGTCTCACTTTACTAAAGTCTGAGTTAATGTGTAAACTATTGTACACAATACGAAACTGCAATTGTGAAATGCTCAGTAATAATTCTTTTTCATCCTCATTTCATTTCTCATCTGAGACTCAAGTTACTGAGGTTGAAGAGGGGCTCAGTTAGAGGTTTTCCAGACAAGGAAAGCTTCAGTGTGTGTGCAGTGTAAGCGAATAGGCTCTTATTCTAAAGGATGAGCCCTTTGGCAATTAATTGTCTGAACATAGGCAGTTACTCCCTTTTTTTAGGAATTCCCATAGAGAAACTAGTTATTGAAAAGCCCTTGGTTTCTGAAAAGCAAGTTATCCCATGGAATTGGTAGATCATGGCCTGCCTCCTGGTAAGTTTCCCTCTCTTTTAAGTGGTCACTGAAAACCTGTCTCCTTATCTTGAGATAAGGATTCCTTTTTGTTCGATTCCTTCATAAAATCTCTTTTGAGGAGTAGCATATAGGTGTTCTTTGTTGAAAAATAATAAAATGACCCATGAGCCCCCTTTCTTTTTCACAAAAATTCACTTCCTTTCCTACCTCCTTATTTCCTCATTCTTTCTTCCAGTCAACCCTTTTCTACAATTTTTTCATTAAGTCAAATTTATTATATCTCCTAATCATGTAAATGTCATTAAATAAATCCCCAGCAGTGAAACTACTATCCAAATACTTTCCAAGTGCAGGAAAAACAAAATTGATGACATATATTCTATTAGGGAAATTAAAAATACAAACTTATAAATCTAGATAAATTAAGATGGTAATTTACACCAAGAAAAAAAAAGGCAAAAGAAAAAAATGCGCCAATAAGCAAACCTTACTAAGAATCAAAACAATTCAAATTAAAACAAAATTTAATTTGTTACCCAGCAGTCAAAAAGAAATGGCAAAGTTAATAATACACAGTTGTCTTGGAATTAGAAAAAAGAGGTACAGCATTTCTAGAGAACAATTATGCTCCATAACTTACGAGTCTTATGGCTTAGGAATTTATCCTAAAAGAAAATTAGTCAAGTTCACAAAGGTGTATGTATAAGGCTGTCCAACACAGTCTTGTTTAAAATAAAAAATTTAGAATCTAAATGCCCATGAACTAGAGACTACGGTTCATTCATAAAATACAAAATAATACAGCCTTTGGAAAGGATTATGCACCTCCATATTGACAGAGGAAGATCTCCAAGATATACTGCTATGGGGCTGCAAAATAACAGGTATTAGATGACCCTAGTTACATAAAATCATTTATCTTTATGCTTATATGTGAAGGGAAAGAAGGCCAGAAGAATCAAAATGTTAAATCTGGTATGTATGGGACTTGAAGATATTTTCTGTCTTCCTTTTTTTTTTTAATTGAGGGGAGAGTCACCTAAGATAAAATTAATCTGTCCGCTCCTAAACTTTTCCGTATAATTTGCATTTTCTATGACGATCATTTATTTTTGTGGGCAGAAAAAAAAAAGTAAAAAAAAATAGCCTAAATAGAGAATATCTACAAACTAATATTAGAGATAAGAAATACAATTACTAGTTCCCATCATTAAAATAATTGTACATTTTATAAGATGCTTCCTTTAACAATAGTATCCCTAGTATACTCTTATGTTTATTTACACATCACCACTTGACAATATACTGAAGGCCAGAATGTTAGTTGATATAAAGTCAATTTAAAATATAGTCAAATCAAAATAAGGAGAGAAAATTTTTTTTTCAAAAATCTGGTTCACACAAAAGTTCTCAAACACATATCTAATGTGAACAACAACATTTACCTTTATAGAACATACTTACCAAAACAGCCCAGTTGTTTGTATGGCCACTTCTAAAGAACTGTTCTGCTTGATCCTACAAATCAAATAATTTCAAAAACATTAGAAAAGCCACATTTCTGAGAATAAAGACTGATAAAGAACAGTTAAGATTCATGGAGTCTTTAGTTTATAATGACAGTAAATTAACATTATGCAAATTTATAAAAGTTCTAGTATTTGACCTTATAAAGGACATTTTATTTTTCACTGGGGGGCCCTGGAAGTGGGGGCTGCTTGTTTTTAAACACTTTTATCTCAAACACAACCAGCTCTTCCTCATATGCTTCTAGTTTTCCATTCAGTCTTCAAATTGTGAATGACTTATTTTCATGCCTTGATTCCCCACATAACAATACCCTTCTTTTTTTTTTAAAGATTTATTTTTTGACAGAGAGACAGCTACAGAGGGAACACATGCAGGGGGAGTGGGAGAGGGAGAAGGAGGCTTCCCGCCGAGCAGGGAAGTGGGGCTTAATCCTAGGACCCTGGGATCATGACCTGAGCAGAAGGCAGACACTTAACGACTGAGCCACCCAGGCACCCCAATTAATACCCTTCTTATTGAAGTCTCATTCATTATTTCCTACTCTGTAGTGGATGCTTCCCATTACTTTATCTGAACACATCAATATATTTGATTGAGCACATTCTCTAGCACGCTGCCATGTACCATTTCGCTAATCTGTGAGAAGTCTGAACCATATTTGCCATTGTGGAACAGCAGAAAACTTCAACATCCAATAATATCCAGACACCAAAAGAACATGATATTTATTATATATTAAAATAACTGTGAATATGAACCTTAATGACCCCAGATCTGCTACCAAACAGTATTAATTATGAGAAGTCAGACTGCCTGGATTCAAATTTGGGCCCTATTATTTACTAGCTGTAAAAGCTTAGGAAAGCTTCTCTGTGCCTCCATTTCCCCATCTATAAAAGAGTAGTAATATTACCTGACACACAGAAGGCAGAAATGGTGACTGGAACATAGTAATTGCCCAACAAATGTTAGCTGTTTTAATTTTCATCTGGCAAGAAAATTTCAGGGAGAATAAAATAAAAAATTCCCTCAAATCTGTTTATCATATGTACATATATATTTTTTAACCTTTCTCAAGAGCTGCCTCGATGCAAAAGAAAACAATGTGCTATAGTGGATAAAGCATTAGTTTAAAATTTTGAACATGGCTATGAGACTGGGATAAGTCACTTAGCTCTTTAGACTTGACTTTCCTCGCAGAAAGTAAGATCTGACCCAATAATCTCACATGTCCCTTCTAGCTGAAAATTCTTACATCATTAAGACTTTAGTGAAAAATCTGATATGGCAAAACTCTTTTGTGATTGTTTACACAATATAGGCATTGCAAAGTTATTCATTCTATATATAATGAATGGAGCACCTATCATGTGCCAGTTACATGTAATGTACAGTGATACAAAAATCACTAAAAAGCAAGCTGCTTTCTCTCAAGAACCCCAGAATTCAATAAAGAAGCAAGCAAACATGTTACACTGCAATGTAACATTCATTCATTCATCACATTCATTGGGTGCCATGTGCCAGACACTGTCCTGAGTGCTCAGAATACAATGATGGGCAAAAACATTCATAGTACTTGCCTCCAAAGAGAACACTATCCAATTTGATACACAAACATTAAGCAGAATAGGGCAAACTATAAATTCTATAGAGATAAGACACACAGTATCATGAAAGAGCACAATAGATTCCCAGATAGATCTGACCTGACCTGATTCTGGCAGTAACACATGGGAAGGCATCAGCGAAGTTTTCCCTAGAGAAGTGACATTTAGCTTAGGATTCAAAAGATGAAGAGAATAGGGAAGATAATTCCAGACAGAAGGAACATCCGCCCTAATGGCAGATAGGAGCTTAAATGCTTTGAGAAACTAAAAGATTAGCACAACTCGAAGTCAGAGAGAAGGGCCTTGTTCATGGGCCATAATGAAGATTCTGTTCTTTATCCTTAAGGAAACATTAAGGTGTTTATGGGTGACATGATCTGATTTGCATTTTTAAAAGTTACTCTGGCTGCAGCTTGGAAAACAGACTGGCAGAAAGAAAGACTTGAGGCAGACCAGTTAGGGAGCTATTGCACTCTTAAGTGAAAGATGAAGGAATAATAGATACTGCAAAGCATATATGGATTATAGCAGATGAATGCTAAGTAGATAAGTGTACAAATTACAACAGTATAAGCAAAGGCAAGGGATAAGGAAAGGCTCTACAGAGGTTATGCTTTTACTGCATCTTAGTAAAAAGAAAGAAGAAACAAAAGGTTAAAAAAAAACATGGATAATGTGAAAAAGCACAGCAACAACCTAACTACAAAAAATATAATGGTGTCCAAAATGAAGTATACAAAATAATGCACTGAAATAAAGGAGGAAAATAGCAGAAGTTCTATTCATATTTGTATTACATAAAAAATATACCTTATAAATACTGACTATGTAGATTAGCAGTAATTCATGGATACGGAGAGAGGGTGCATGCGCCATCTTTCCTAACTGGAGGGTATGCATTCAAAAAGTTTAGAACTCATTGGTCTAAACTCAAGGTACTTAGGCGGTAGAAAGAATGGACTCCAATAAGAAGATCAAAAAGTGGGCAAAGACCAGATTATGATTTTTAGACTTTCCTGTGTATGCAATGGGAAAAGAATTAAATCAATAGAATAAACTGACTGGGTTTGCCTTTTATGAAGACTAATCTAGCATCTAAGTGAGAGACTTTGAAAGCCTGGGGGGAAACAAGATAGTTCTTGCAATAGTGTAGGCAAGAAATGACCAAGGCCCACCTTATGCCAGTGGAATTGGAAGGGTGAAAGCAATTTTTTAAAGTTCAGAACACAGAATTTAGTGATCAACACGTGAGATAAAAAGAGTTTATTAAAACAACAAATAGGTTTCTGACTTAGTAGCAATCCCATAGGAGGTGGGCTAGGCAGAAGATGAAACTTTGGATATAGATTTTCAAATGTCGGCCAACTATCCCGGCCCCCTAGCCAACAGGATATGCAGGCCTGAAAATATCTAGACTGTAGAACTGGCCTTAAGTACTGTCAGAGTACTGGATAGAGTAAAAGCTTGATAAAGCGCCAGAACGTCCTGTGAGCCAAAAATAAAACACCGTAGACATCTGACTCCTATCAAAGGGGAGCAGTGTAGTTTAGTAGTAGGAAAGTAGGTGCTTCACTCCTGTGCTCACATTTCCACTGCTAGGGACTGCACACTCGTCCGAGCAGTGGATCAGGTCCTCCCCCGTCTCCTGAGATTTGATTCTTTAAATTCGTCGTTTTAAAAGGGCGAAACAGATCGACACTGTCCTATCCCATCCCCTGTGACAGACACCCTCCCCCACACACAGCCCGGTCAGCCTAGTAAGATGCTGATGCTCCCCTCGGCTGCTGTGAATCGCAATCTGCTGGTGCGCTCACAGCCACGACAGAGCTGTCCTCCCAGAGCCCTGTCGCTCGGAGGGCCTCACTCCTACCTCGATCTGACTAGCGGCCAAGCTGCCGAAGGACAAAAGCAACAACCCTACCAGGGTAGTCAAACCCTTGCTGAGAAAGCAGGCGGCCACCATGTTTCCCGGCTTCAGCTTCCCGCACCTGGAGGGGCGGAGCGAGTGCCGTAAAGCAGCACGGCGGGTTTTTGCGTGGCTTTTTTTTTTTTTTTTTTTTTGCGACGCAGCCCCACCTCCTTGAGGCCGGCCCTTTGCCAGCCTTTAGTAAACAGCACTGGCACAGAGTTCAAGTTCCAGGGGTGGATGGGGCAGGATAGCTGGAAGACTTTGATCCTTTATCTTTAATTGCATTTTCAGTTTTTTATTGTAAAATAGATATAACGTTTAAAAAGTTGTTTGAAAGGCGAAGGAGGAAAACTTGTGATCCCGTAAACTTTAAAAGCTATTTCCTATTTTGCATAGCGCTGTCAATTCTTTGAAAATATGATGTAGCGGGAAGTGCAAGCCTTTGGGCACAAAAGGATGATTAATTGGATTAAACGGAAAAATGGGTGGATGCTGCAATGAACAGGCTTGGGGGTCTATCATTAAAAGCTTGAACGTGGAGAAATTGTTTAAATTTTTGTTTCTTCCATAATTATGGAGCTAAAATTTACTTCAAAGAGAGTCTGAGGATTTGATAAGATCTTGTGTATTCGTTCCATTATGTTTATTATATGCATTCAATTTTAAATTATTTTTATCTAGCATTACATAAACATGTTTATGCAGCTTCATGATCTTCATAATTTTAAAATTGAATGGTAACTTGGAATTCCACCCTTTATTGTTGCCTGAGACAAAGTAATTGCCCCTCTACTGGACAATACAAAGTTTCCAAGTTTTGCTACAAAAATAATATTGTAAAGCAAACCTTTGTGCATTTGTTGAATTATATTATTTGGATAATTTCCGATAAGCCAAAAGGTACAAAAATGTTAGTGCCTATCAATAATACCGCTTTCCAAAGTATACACTCACAGTGCCATCAAAATACAACCTAACACCAAATTATGCCATTTTTTCCCTCTAAATTCCTTGCTACAAAATGTTACCTCTAGTTTGTTATACTTCAGGTTCCTTGATTGCTATCAAAATCTGATGTCTTTCCTTGTGTCTATAAACTCTCTTATGTACTCTGATGTAAATATTCTGTTCATAGCTTTGTTATGAATTTGAATACCTTTATGAAGTGACCTTAAGCCTTGCCATATTTTATGCTATTGTTTTTCCCAGTCTCTTTGTCTCTCTTTCCATTTTGTTTCTTTTGCTATTGTATTTTGTGATGTGTTTAATATTAGGTAGTCAAATTTCAGGTTTTCCCTTGTAAAGCCAAGAAAGCACACTACCAAGAGTGTCCTACAAGCTGAAATGTCACAAGTTCATGCAGGTCTCAGATCAAGTTTTATTTTCTTTTGATTTTATATTTAACTATTCAACTATCTAGACTATATTTCAGTGTATGCCATGAGATGTTATGTGAGTTATCTATTGCTGCATAACAAACCACCCAAAACTTTGTAGTGTGTCCATAGCTAGAGAAACAAGGGTGTAGAAATGGAGACATGATTCTAGGGAGCCATTGCCATAACGATCTACTACTTTTATCAAAATTGGTATTCCATTACCCAACAGGATTTTCTACATAACACTTACCTTACCCATTGACTCATAATAATTCTCTTATTAAACACTTATCAGAAGTAAAGTATTTTGGACTTTCTGTTCTCTTCAGTTAAAATATATGTCTATTTTGAGGCCAGTACCATGTTATTTTAGCCGCTGTTGTTTTTAAATGCTTTAATATTTGGCCATTAGGGCTAATCATTTTAGTATACTTAATTTTTCACAAAAATTCTTTGATTTTTGTGATTTTGCCTGGTAATTTTCCAAGTGAATTTTATAATAATTTTTCCAAGTTACAAGAAGATAATACTTTTGGATTTTAATGGGATTATAGAAAATCTATTAATAAATTTGAGAAAGGCTGATATCTTTATCATATTTAGTCCTTCATTCTGGAATATGGAACTCTCTCATTTATTTGTGGTTCCTTTTTTTAAATTTCTCAGTAGAACTTTAAGCCAGAGATATCTAAATCAAGCTACGTCCTAAGCATAGGTAACATTTGGGGTTTTTTTTATTGTTAACATTTGTTATTCTTAATGGATTTCTTTTTTCACTGCATAGGAAATACATATATATAATAATTATAAATAGGTAATATCTATAATATTATGTATTCTGATCAGTTATTGCTGATAGGCAGATCATCTTTTCTGTCCAAGTACTCTTCCATCATTTTAATAAGAAGTATTTAATTATATTAATAATGAAAACTACTTAAAACTTTTGTTTGACAAATCGTTTTGGCTTTTCTAGTTTTTTAATGTTATCCTCAAATTACCTTTTTGTCTCTTCCTTTCCAATATTATTTCTTGTATTTCTTTTTCACAGCTTATATTATGGCTGAATACTAACTAATAATGTTGATAGCAAGATTTTCTTTCCATTTTTGTTTTAAAAGGGATGGTTTTAGCATTTTTCTATTAAGTCTATCATTAGCTGTAGGATTAGAGTACTCATTGTCATGTTAAAGAAGTAGATTTCTGTTTCTCTTTGTTTTTTCATTGAATCACTGGATTTCAAGTATGGAAGAGAGCCAGCTTCATACCCTAATGTAGGACACACGAACAGTTTTAAGCACCACTCAACATAGGAAATAATTTTTTTATCTGTTAATATGTGAAATAGCATTGTTTAAAATTTGGTTAGAATTGTTAACCATGTATACAGAGAACAGATTGGTGGTTGCCAGAGGCAGGGGGCAGGGGTGGGCAAAAGGAGTAAAAGCAGTCAAAAGGTATAAACTTCCACTTGCTGTATAAGATAAGTAGATCCTGGAAATGTGAAGTTCAGCATGTTGACTGTAGTTAATAATTCTTTTTTTTTAAGATTTTATTTATTTATTTGAGAGAGAGAGCTCATGAGAAGGGTTATGGTCAGAAGGAGAAGCAGACCCCCTGCCGAGCAGGGAGCCCGATGCAGGACTCAATCCAGGGACCCCAGGATCATGACCTGAGCCGAAGGCAGCCGCTTAACCCACTGAGCCACCCAGGTGCCCTCTAGTTAATAATTCTGAGCCCCAACCCCACCCCAGCTTGTCACTTGCTGGACCCTGGAGCACACTGTGTGTCCCACTGGCACTGGAGCAGACAGCAACCTGATGGTGGCCACGGAGGGAGCATGGCGCTCTTGGCACTGCACTTGGTGCTATTGCTCCTGGCCCGGGACTTGGCGACCTCTTTGGACTCTGAACTCGAGTTTAGCCAGCCTTCAGAATACAGAAACCAAACTGCGATTGGTATAAATTCCCAGGATGCCCTAGAGACTTTAGCCCTGTGTGCAGAAAGGACATGTCTGCTTATCCCAGTGAGTGTACTCTGTGCATGAAAATCAGGGAAGGTGGTCATGATATCAAAATAATCCAGAATGGACCGTGTTGATGGAGCAATTTATAGAAGAGAAATTGGAGAAACCACCTTCAACAGTATGTTAGATGAATTCCATTTTCCCTTTTTCTCTTTCCTTCTTAGCACAGGATTTGTTAGCCCACATTTTCTGAGAGGAGGTATGCAAGAGAGTTGTGTGTAGTGACTGATAATTAAAGAAAACATGAAAAATCCTTCTTTCTTGGCTTTTGCCCCGTGAGTGAGCATTGCCCAGGCGACTGGTGCACTGCTTTATTTAGCTGGAATAAAATCAGCATTGTATTAAAAACACACACACACACACACACACACACACACACAAAATACTGTATTGTATATTTGAAAGTTACTAAGAGAGTAGATCTTAAAAGTTTTCATCACAAGGAAAAAACTATACACCTGAAACTATAACAATGTTATGTCAATTATATCTCAATTAAAAAAATTGTTAACGAGAGTCTGCATTTAGACTAACATTCAATTACTCATTTAGTGAATAATTGACTTAACTTAGCAACTAACAGAGAAAACAAGCATTTGATTATGAGATCAAAATCACACACAACCATGGCATCTCTAATAAAAGTTTTTATGCATGACCCTCACAGGGAGTGCACCAGAGTCTATCCACGTTGTTACTATTGTTCTTCAATCAAATGATAACTCAGATTGATTCTGTTGACCGTAGTGTTAGATCAGTGTTCGTTCTTGCTCTTTTTTATTATCTATGCCCCTACTGTTTCTTCTTTTTTGTTACCTTTTTCTCTCTCCTCCTGTCTGCACCAAGAACACCATTGTGTTATTCATTCACTGAGAGAGTATTTATTAAGCACCAGTTATGTGCCAGGCACTGTGCTAGTCACAGGCAATAGGAGAGAGAGCAAAAGTGAGCTCCTCATTGGAGCTTAACATCTAGGGGAGACAGATATTAACAGTAGAAGCACTTAAACAAATGTAAAAGTCTAACAAGAGAATTCCTAGTAGGGAACCAGCCTTGTAAGAAAAACCAGAGTAGGCTTCCCTGAGGAAATGGACTAAGCTGAAATTAATGAGTTAATGAGGCAGAGATGAAGAGAAGAGCTTTCAAGACAGGAACCAGCTCTTACACAGAACCTATGGAAGAAGGAAGCTTGGATTATTAAAGGAACTTTTTGAATGACCTTATGCATGCAGTTCAAAGAATGAAAGAGAAAGTGCTGCAAGATCAAACTGCATTGCCAAGCAGGTGTCACATCCCTTCAAAGCCTTGGGGGTCAGGTCGAGGAAAGCCTCAGAATGGCAAAAATCATGCTGGCTTCAATGAGAATGGCTGCAGGTAGAGGATGTGGGAGGCCATGGCTACCGTCCAGGCAATGGTAGCTTGGACCAGCGAGGGTGGAGATGATAGAAATTCAATAGAATTTTAAGATCACAACCAACAGAACATAATGATGGATTATATTTCGAAAGCAGGAGAGAGGACAATTTCAAGAATGACTTTTGGATATCAACTTGTACAACCAAATGTTTTGTAGTACCTTTTTTTTTTTTTTTTTAAACATAAGGATCACAGGAAGTCGACCAGGTTTAGGATTCCTAGACAAGTGAGATCTGGTTTAAATATTTACCCAAAACAAT